TTCTGCTTTCGGAACGGAATCCATCGCATCTCCACTGGATCTAACGTGTATACCCCTGGCCCCGCCTTGAAAAGTTGCTCAATGCCTTCGTCCCAGACATCCGCCTTCTTGGCCAGTAACTGGACCGCCCTGGCCGCTGTCTTCATGAGATGAATAGATCAATAAATTGAAGTTTAATATTGTATAATGTCGTGTATAGAAAATCCATATGTTTGGTTTATAAAACCAGTTTATGAAAGAGTACATTGTTTTGGAATCGCATCAAAATCATGAAACACTCGCTAACTGTTTCATGACCAAAAAATACAAGAAGCAAGCGTTCTGTGGGCGCTTTGTTTCAGAACACTCCAACATGTTGTTGGGCGCAGACCCCAAGGTCGCAAAGAGCAGGTGTGTATCTCGAACCAGCATGACCTCAGGGTGCCAGAAGTTGGGCCATTTTTGTTGGATTTTTGTTGGCAAAAAAAAATGCAGAACTTCTGAGGCCGGCACATTTTTCGTCTGGTTGGTGACACCCTTGGGATTCGTCCATCTTCTCTCTGGAAGCACACCGACCTGCCCGTTCAGAGACTGTTTGGAAGACCTGTCTCCACAGCTTTCCCGGGCCGCAACTCGAGGCCAACGGTAACGCAACCGTTCAACATGTTGGGTGAGCCCAAAATCCATCAAATCCAAAATGCACAGTTCCAAATCACTGTCAGTCAACTTCAATGGCAGCCCAGGAACTGCCGTGGGCATCACCGGTTGGAGCTCATGAGCCATGATGCCTAGCCTCCCCGGTTGGTGGCTTTGGATCAGCTGAAAAAACTGGTTTCGGGGGAGTGGAAATAGCATGGAAATAGCATGGAAATAGACATAGATATAAATAGCATGGACATGTTGACCAAATCTTACAATACACAGAAAGTTCTGGGGCCGTCGCAAATTTTGCCCCCTCCAATTCTGTCCATGATTCGACAGAGAATACAGTAGGTGTTCCGGCGGTGGGCATCAGAAGAACCCTTGGTTTCCATTGGGTTTCCTGGGCATTTACCAGACAAATGTGAAACAAATATCATTTCATAGTACAGAAGAACTTTCCAAAAGCTTTTCCTTTTGAATAAACATAATAAAGCGTTGTCGCTTCTCACGTGTTCCAATGTGAAAAATGTCTGAAGTCCACACTGTCGTCTGGAAAAGAACTTGTTGAAGAATTCTTCCTCTCCATGATCAAACCTTGGTGACACATCACTGACGAAGCAGCTGATGGTAAGCCCTTCATTTGTCAGGAAAGGACGCAGCCAATCTAGGTCTAGGTGGGCCAAACGGATCTACAGTAGGTTTACTCGATTGATCTCGATTGATGCTTTACGGCAGAAACAAGCTCTTGCAAGGGATTCAAACACTTGGATCACTGGATGTCACTGGGGTCAGCAGCTCTCGAATGCGGATGTGCTTGATCTGCTGCATGAGGGTCTGCAGCGTTTCACGATCGACGTGGATGGAGCAACAGCTGAATATGGTTTCTGCTCAAAATCAGTTGGGCGATCCATTCCCTCCAAACTCACAAAGTACTCACCAAGCCTGCAAATCTGCATCTTCCACATTCTCTTTGATCTTGGAGTCCGAGTACAGTGCCTTTAGGCAAGAACACAGGGCACATTGCTGTTGCCTGTTCAAGCAGTTGCCTTGGTCCGAACATTGACCAACATAGTCTTTGCATCCCAAGCCGTCGGCAAACCTACCAAATGCGAGCCCTTCCGTTCTATTCTTGTTGCCATGTTATGGAAGGTGGTGCATTCATAATGTCAAGAGCTTTGCTTTTTCACCAAGTAGCGGTTGTTTTCGTTGCTGCTTTGACAGCAGAAATTAAAGCCCTGCCCACCCTGGGCAGAATCCACCTCCAACACGAGTCTCGTTGGAGGTCCACCGATTTGCACAGAACGTCATGGCAGTTTTCAGCCATGGATATCGCCTATGGCCCTACGGCCACGACGTCGAACTTCGTCAAGTTGGAGCCTCTCAAGAAACAGGACCTGCTGGAAGACTTCAACAGGTGACAGAGATATGATCAGCATATCACCGCTATCCGGTGCCATGGTGACAGATGGGCCCAGATGGGCCATGACCTTCACTGCGTCAGAATATGTCAGAGCCATCGCCACGTCATCGTCGTTTGAGCCGTTCGATGGCGTCGTTGACCAACGCCACGATCTCCGAGACATTCACCTCAAACGACCAGACCTCGAAGGAAGCGACGCGAAGGGAGCGAAAACAACGCCTCACAGTGCGGGAGACGTTTCCAGGGGTTCAAAAATTGGGGGGGTGACAAAGGATCTTCTCATGGTATGGATATCTCATGGATCGATCATGTCGGCTGAATTTCCAAGAGGGATCCTGATTGTGCTGCCCCATAGCTCATACACCCTTAGTAGCCTTAGTACAGTCTTGGATACCTATCCTACCTCTCGACTTTGCTGGTCATTCCAAAGGCTTGCCCTCACTCGGCCTGTTCTTCGATGTAGGCTCAGATGAGCAGGCATAGTTCACATGCGCAGTTCTGGCCCATCCACCGAACTCACTTCCTGAGTGGCTGTCACTTTGAAATCGGAGTTCCAAATTTACATATTTTGCGAAGAAAGCACCAATGGTTTATAAACACATACTTGGTAATAAATGTTTGGTAAACACATACCTTGCCAATCTTTGAAACACAAAATGGCGGGTCAGTTGATCCCCCTACCAGCCGACCGCTTCATCAAAGGCGCTGGGGTTCACGTCCCATGATGCCGCTGTTGCTGCAACGGGGACCACGGCTGGAGGCGCGGTCCAACAACTGCCAAAGAGCCTCGGTGGGTCAAATTGTCACCAGAAATGGCTTGTCAAAACTGGTAGCCAGATTTTGGTTTATCAACCCAAACTATCCCTAAGAAACCAATATCCAAAAATTATCCCAAAATTTTAGAGGGTTGATTTTTGGCTTTGCCACCTTACAGATTGATTGCTTCACATGTATCGATAGCCGATGGCCGTTCAGAAAAATACGAAGACCAAGATGGTGTCCCCAGATGGATGTGGGTCAAAATGGAAGACCTAGGGGACCACAGATATTAGTCTAGTTTAGTATTAACCATCCAATTGTTGGGGTACCTAATTTTGACCCACATCCAGATTGCGCATCAAGGCGATTTGAATCAAACCGTGGCCAGCGGTTGTACTTTCCATGCAGTCTGCAAGAGTTGGATAAGAATGCTGAATCCAGGACGAATCCTGTGTAATCAACAACAACAAAAACCTCCAGGTTTCATCACATTGATATAACATCATTGGATTGGTTTTTGTTGGGAAAGTTCATTGGAAAATCCCCATGGTTTCCGGTTTCCGGTGTCGATGTTCAACCACAAGCCGTGGTGATTTTTTGTTGTTCAACAGCAACCAATGAATCCAACCAAGTCCATCCCTAACTGCGGAAATTGATGAAACACTAAGCCCATAACAGCCATAAGACCTCCATCCAAAAACCCTGGTTTTCTTGGAAGACTGTCCCGAAAAAAATTGCTGAGTCTTGGACCTCAGTCTTGGACCGTACAAGACTACCCCCAACTGGTTGATGATGGTTGATGGGTGGCCAATCGGCCCTTGACGCATTCCAGTCGTCGGCCAATGGCATTGTACTTTTGATTGGTGAGATACTAATTTGAGATACTAATTTGCTTTGTCCTAAATGTCCTAAAAAAAGCGAATTTATGCTGATTTGGTCCCTTTCAGTCGGAAAAAAGATGACGCCTTGGAAGTGAGGGTATCTTATCAAACAACCCCAGTGCTGGATCCTTCGGCAAGGCGCGTCAAGGCCTCGGGTGGCCCTGGGTGCATGTCGATAACGAAGGAGTTGCTTCGCAGCAAGGGGAGCCATGCTAAGGTCGCTCCAAAGGTGGCCAATAAGACCTGCATGTGGGGGATGGTAGGGGGATGGGGAGGTCGTGAAGTACCCAGTAACTGGACCAGAAAATTGGATCTAAATGATCTAAGAACCATTTATTCTTGGTCGGTAATCAGGAAGTGCGATGAGAATGCAAGGAAGCATCGTGTTTCGATGGAATGAATCGCCCGTAGGACTGGGCCTGAGTTTCGAGTATGAGCCGAACCTGTTCCAGCAGAGGCAACTCTTGTAGCCTGTCGTGACCATCGACAGAAGCATCTCCAAGCACATCTGAACTTGGCTCAAAGAAATGTCCTTTAGTGAACCCAACATCTTTGATCTCAGCTCACGGCCTGACATGTTGCAACTTCACATCTTCCAACTGGGAAATGGCCGACGTCACACGGTTCAGGTTGCTGATGCTACGCTTGCAACCCACAGTATCCTCAGGGAAACCCATGCTGGATGCACCCATCAACTTTGAAAGGCCCAAACAGGACCAAACTGACGGTCATCCGGTCTATCTTCAGAAAATGCCCAAAATTGGATGAAATTGGGCCAACAAATAGATAGCTCACACCATGCAAATGACATGAACTCCCCGCCTTGCAGCGCTCCACCAGCAGAACACCAATAGCATTTCTCGCATGTCTCCCAGGTGGCACCAGCTTCAGGTGTCTCACCATGGCAGTTCTCATGGCAACAGAGTCTGGAAAGGTGAAATCACCTGACCAGTGGGACCAGGTGTCAGGCCAGAGCTTTTCCACAAAGAGCATTGCGTTTTTTCTACCCACAAAGGTTGTGCCACAAAGGAACCTGGGCGAAAAACATCGAAAAACCTCGGAAGATGGCCGCTCTGAGGTCAGCACCGGGCCCTGAAAAGGGCGCTTCCAGGTATCCCCAAACGGCACCCCTGCGGTAGCAACGGCAGCCATCCTTGTTCGGGAGCAAACTTCCTCGGTCGACCATCAATTATCGACATGAATACCAGATTCTGCCGCAGCTGTATGGTAGATTGCAAGATCGCAGTCTGCCAAGTGTATTTTCTATTGGTCCTGATTTTCGAAACACGCACATCTCTTCTAGAGATGCCCTTCTTCCAGCCAAAGCACGAATGGGTCTGGAGCTCAAAAGGGAAAACAAGTCCTTCAGCAGCAGTTGCTCAGGGTCCGCATATCGTCCTGGAAACTCATCAGGTCTCGGATCTCAAGGCAGATTGAATAGTGAATTAATGGAATTCATAAATGGGGGTCTCCTAAATTGGGGGTACCTCAAAATGGATGGTTTATAAGGGAAAATCCAAAAAAAAATGGATGATTTAGGGCTACCCCTATTTTAGGAAACCTCCATTTGGAGGTTTCCAGGTGCACTTCTGGGACTCTATGCCTAGCTGAAATTTCAGACGTCTCCTGGTGAAGGCACCAAAAGAACCTGCCAATCGGCCAGGACAGCACGGCTGGCACAGCTGGATGTGGACACCAAAGTCTGTGGCTACTGATGAGGCAAACAGCTCCCAATAATGCTTGATAATGCTCAATAGCAAAGAGACAAGCAAAAAAGGCCGACAAGGAAGTTTGGTCACATTTTTGACACATGTCATGTTCTCCATCTTACTCGAAGCTTTTTGCTAAACCATTATAAACCATGGGCCTCTGTGGTGTTCCGCAAGAGGCCTTCGGGAGGCAGGCCCATGTGCGGATACTCACCAGCTGCTTGCCATAAAGCTCTCAGCCTAAGGTTTTCCCAATGACTCATTAAGATGTGTACCCTGCATGTTCAGCTTGAAATGTTTAGAGTCTGAGTCCACAATTGACATTCAGCCATGCCCGCTTTGCGCAGCTGTTCTCGTTGCAGGCAAGGTACAACTTCCTCCCGGTTGGTCCAGAGAACCATGCCAATGCACCTTGAGTCACGGCAAGTCAACAAGTTCATGCAGAGTCCCTTTGGGAATCCAATATGGCTAGCTGGGAAATTGCCATAAATCCGCACAAATGGGGTGGATTTTCCCTTGACTGAGATCGACTTGGGGTATCTAATTCCGCCTAAACATATAGAGTTACTCACAATACGAGCCATGAGGCGGGTGCAGGTTCTACAAGAAAGATCACCACAGCATCCCAACGCCAAGAGGCCAGTCAACCAGATCATTTCACTGGTAAGGTGCCCCATCATCTTCGGGTACACCTGAGAGGCACCGACTGGTGAAACACAGCTACCCAGTTGCATCTCCAATTGGCTTTGTCTGAAAATAGGCTAAACCCCTACACCCAATGGTTTTGCTGATCATTATCCCGTTATTCAATGGCTATTTCATTGGGAATATTAACCCAACATTTTCAGACATACCCCCTATTATGGGTTATCATAATCCCCAGTAAATCAGGTAGTATAATCCCCTATAGCAATCAATTCACCAGGGTATGTTTAATGGCTCAATTCACCTGCCAGGTGAATTCGCCCAGACACAGGAAGCAGCAGCAAAATCGTGTCGAGCGGAGCCACCGAACACCTGGCCGGCCCAGTTCCGGCCAGAGCGTCTTGGGCATCCTGCGATGCGCGCAAGCCCGTGGACTTGGTACAGAAGTGCGAAGCGCGAGGTCCAAAAAAAAAACATACAGTAGTTCTTTGGATACTTCTTTGGAAGAAAAATGTAGGAAAATATTTGGAACATAGCTTGTTTGGAGATATTCCCTGTTGGGAAATATGGTTTGGAAACAGCCACAACATGTTTGGAAAACAATTTAACACATTGATTTGTTTTTTAATCTCAACATGACTCATAAGCAACTCATGCTTTCGAACTTCTGCATGGCTCACTGGTTTTAGTCATCCTTGAGCTCCATGGGTTTCAGCTGTAGCCCTGTGCTTGTTGCCTTTTGCCTCTCATAATGGCAAGTGGGTAAGCGCCTCAGCGTGTCTTTCAGCAATCCCGAGTGCAACTTGTCAAATTGAGACATTTCCGGAACCTCAACTGGGTTTCCCTCGTCGAGTCGCTCTGTGACCAAGTCATAGTCAGCTACAAAGTCACCCGTTCTGATGGTATTCTCTTGGATGCAGAGCCTTATTGCAGCTGATTGCCATTTGGGATGATGGAAAAACCCGGGGAACCTTGACCCCCTTGACCCGTGCCCATGTTGGCTGGTGAGGGTGTCCATCGTCTTTGCTTAACTCCCGATCAATCCCGCGTTTGTGTCGGCTGAATCCCCCATGGCTTCTGCATGTTTCTGCTGCTCCTGGTTGATGTTGCCCATCCTGATATAAACTCGGTTTGTGTTAGTCAAGCCATGTCAAGCCCCATTTCTGTTGAATCCTCCCATTCCTATTGGTTACCCTCTGGTAATTTAACATAGCTATGGAAAATGACCATTTATAGTGGGTTTTCCCATTAAAAATGGTGATTTTCAATAGCTTTTTGTATGTTTACCAGAGGGTACACATTGGTTACACCCCAAATCGCCAAATCGCCAGCCAAATCGCGGGGGTCTCAGCACCGCCTGGCACTTGGAGCGTCCAAAGAGTATCGCTTGCAACGGCTCGTGGCCACGCCAGGCAGTGCGAGGAGGAGACGAGGACACCTGCCATGGGGGCCATGGCCATGGGAGCCATGGGGAGCCAAGGGGGCCATGGGAATGAAAGGAGGAAAGCCAGCATTTTTTGGATGGTGACAATGTGGGAATCTTTTTGGGATATCATGATATTAAAATATATTTTGACATTATGATATTATATTATGATGGTTTCTTGTGGTGTCCTTCGATTTTTCCAGTTTCAACCAACACCATGAACTAATGTAATGTCTCCAGGCGACATCACTGGATCACTGGATTCAGATCAAACCACCAAAAAGATATCCAGACAGGAGACTGTGCCAGCAGCCCAGGCATACCTCTGTGGGTCCTGAAGGGTCTCGAAAGGGATGAGCCTCCAATTTAAGCCCATGCTGCCATGCTAAGAAAGAACATGATGGTTTTAATATGTTTAAATTGTGGGATGGAATGCGGTTCCAAAGATGTTTAGACAGCCCCATAGCAAATCCCACATCTTCGTGCCTGAAACCAGCCCTGTCGCTCCCTTCCTTCCCTCTCCTCCTCCCAGTCCATGTCTTTCAGCTGCAAGGCTTCAAGGACCAAGAGTCCAAAGCGCCAAAGCAGTTCATCCAAAGCCACAGATGAAAATCCTTGACCATCCACCCTGCAGCCATCACAGAGCATGGCAACCAGAGATGCCACTTGTAAGTGCGCCGCTGCCTCAGTTTATTTCCGCAGCTCACGTGCGGAAAGCCGGAACCGCGACTGAAGAATCATGGCAAAACGCTACGAATCTTGAAGCTGTAATCAGCAACCCCTGCAGTGGACCTTCCCTAGTTCTGAATCCCCAGCATCCTATCCTCAACACCGGGCCTCATCCAGATCTCGCTTGGTGTAGAGCTGGTTGTATGCACAGGTCACATGATACTGCATATCATCTGCGACACCTCTGCGTTGAAGATTTCTGCGAAGCTCTTGATACTGTATATGCTAAGCTTTCAACGGGGAAGATGACTTTGAATATATATATATATATACGTGTATTTATATATAACTATATATATATATGATGCCTATGTATTTTTATAACTATATGTATGTAGATAGATGCACAACATGAAGTGAACGCAACTCAAAGAGAAACACGACGGCATCTTATTCAAGAATCCAGCGATGCCTTACCCAATGGACCCATGGCCATCTCAAGGCGAAGGTGAGATCACAAAACCATGGGATTTCTGGCGTTTATCCCATCAAATCTTCATCAAATCCCCATGAATATCCCATGAATATCCCATGAATATCCCATGAATATCCTGAGACCCAGCTGCAATGGCTCCACATCAAATGTTCCATGGCCGTTTCCTCCAGCATGGCCGAGGAGGTACAGACAGCACGTGGAAGAAGATCTGGGACCTGGTCACCTGTGGCGATTTTCTGCAACGAATGGTGCAAAACGCCCTTTTATTATCAGTGTTATATTATCATTATCTTCATTTTTATTCTTGTTATGTTATCATGTCTGTTATTGATCCACGTCTTTCCATGTCTTTCCATGTCCTTCGATTTCTGGCCATTTCTGTCCATTTGTCTCCACTAGGGATGGATGGAAGCTGGGCAAAAGCGCCTGGCAACACGTCCCAGGTGCGCAAAGCTGTCAGCAAATGCTCACTGCAATCTGCGAGTGCCGGTGCCTGGAGGGAAGCAGAGCTGGGACGCTGCCAAAATGCTAGTTGAAGGCCAAAGATTTGAAATTGATTTTCAATCAATGGATATTACTGCAATCTCTGTGACAAGCCGGGGTCAGTTCAACCCCCTACCCTGCTGTTTCGCCACAAATTTCAATCACCAGAAGGAGGTCTGAAAGTAACATACACCAAAATCCCATCATGTATTCTTCTTTCCCCAGAAGATTGCCGAAATATGGTTCATTTCTGGACAACCCCACATCGTCTCTTAAGTGGTCTTCATCAACAGATTTCAACGCCAGAATGTCAGGGAAAATTGCAGGAAATCCCCACTATTAACTTGAGAGCAGGCGGAGGCGGACGAAAGGTAGTGTAGTGGGAGAGGAGTGGTGTCAAAATGCTGCGCCCCTAAGATGATACACCAAAAACGTTTTTGCGCAGTCTAAGATGATTTTATCCAGAGCATGACTGCATGATACGGTGTCTTGTGCAGCGTGAAATGATGCACGAAAAGTGGTTTATTTAAAACCCCTTTTTAAGACCCCTTGCAGCAACTGTTATTGAGGCTGAAGCATACCAATTATGCTGGACTACAGGGACATCTCCCTCATGGAAAGTGTGCCTCTAATGTGGGGGCCCGTGACCGCGTCACCCGTGGGAATTGAACCCATGACCATTTTCGGGGGGGGGGGCCCGTACGTTCGACACTTGGAGGCTATATCGCAAGCCAAGAGGCTATGGATCAAGACTAATCAAAAGGCAGCGAAGCAAACCATAGGCGCAAAATGGACGCAACTGATTCCGCCTGCTTCGGGCTGCAATAGGCTTTCCAGAAAGACATGCCGATGAAGCCGCTGGACCCGCTGGCGCCGATCAGGCCAATTGAGCCGATGAGGCCGCTGGAGCCGCTGACGCTGATGGAGCCGAAGAGGCCGATGAGGCCGATGGAGCCGATGAGGCCGATGAGGCCGATGAGGCCGATGGAGGTGCTGGAGGCGATGGAGCCGCTGGAGCCGATGACGCCGCTGGGGCCGATGAAGCCGATGAGGCCGATGAGGCCGATGAGGCCGATGAGGCCGATGAGGCCGATGGAGCCGCTGGAGCCGATGGAGCCGCTGGAGCCGATGAGGCCGATGGAGCCGATGAGGCCGATGGAGCCGCTGGAGCCGATGAGGCCGATGAGGCCGATGAGGCCGATGAGGCCGATGAGGCCGATGAGGCCGCTGAGGTCGCTGAGGCCGATGAGGCCGATGGAGCCGATGAGGCCGATGAGGCCGATGAGGCCGATGAGGCCGATGGAGCCGATGAGGCCGATGAGGCCGATGGAGCCGATGAGGCCGATGAGGCCGATGGAGCCGATGAGGCCGATGAGGCCGATGAGGCCGATGAGGCCGATGAGGCCGATGGAGCCGATGAGGCCGATGAGGCCGATGGAGCCGATGAGGCCGATGGAGCCGATGAGGCCGCTCGAGCCGATGACACCGATGGAGCCGATGGAGCCGATGCAGGTCGATGGAGCCGCTGGAGCCATTGAGGCCGATGGAGCCGATGAGGCCGATGGAGCCGCTGGAGCCAATGAGACCGATGAGGCCGATGGAGCCGAGCCGATGAGGCCGATGGAGCCGATGGAGCCGATGAGGCCGATGGACAGGCCGATGGACCAGGTGCGCCACAATGCAAAGCACCCATGCTCTGAAAGTGGCGCTTGGCGCCGGAGATAAATCCTATGCAGCATTGCCAGTAAAGAGAGTTGCAGGTTACAGCTACATGTATCGAGACACCTTAACCCATTCCACCCTGCCTACATGCACAAGAAGTGGTGCCGCAAAATCGACGCCAACCGTCAATGGCACGGGGGGGGGGCCCCCCCCCTTATAATTGATATCCAATACATAACGGCGAGAATTCCATGAATTCCGTGGGCTGGCCCCCCAATACCCCCTAAGCTTGTGCTGAAGCACGGAGAACTCAGGTAGCTGACGCTACCTTTCGTGAAAAAACATCTTTCCTGTAGAGTTTCCCTTAAACAACCCATTGAAAAGTATGGTTAGTTTCCCCATTCTATCCCCATCTGAATGGCGCAACCATCACTTGCGGCAGTAAGAATCAATCACTTGCGGCAGTAAGACTCTTGTAAGACGATTCAAGACCAATCACTTGCGGCAGTAAGATTCCGGAACGTTCATGTTACTGCTGGGGAGGGGTGGGGTGGGGTGGGATAATAACATTCATGTTCCTGTACACACAAGGCACGGCAACAGGCACTGCTCTTTCATCATCAGCTACTGCTTGGCTGGGGTGTGGGGTGGGGTGGGGTGGGGTGGGGTGGGGTGGGTGGGGTGGGGTGGGGTGGGGTGGGGGTGGGGTGGGGTGGGGTGGGGTGGGGTGGGGTGGGGTGGGATAATAACGTTCATGTTCCTGTGCACACACCTGAATGGCAACAGGCACTGCTCTTTCATCATCAGCTACTGTATGTACGTTGTACGTATCAATATGCATAATCTACTGGTTATATAAAAATAAATGCTGAGTTAGTCAAATTTGCTTGCAAGTTCGTTCCCCCTCCCACGATCCTTCCTCTGAATCTTGCACCACGGGCAGTTCCACACATAACAAACGAGGACAATGTATTAGCAAAATACCCCAAACAGTTTGGGGCAAGTACAAAAAGTACTAGAGTGTATATAGATGAAAATGATGATGATGATGATGATGATGATGATGTTAAAGTTGATGATGATTATGTTGATGATGATGATGATGATGATGTTGAAGTTGATGATGATGATGATGATGATGATGTTGATGATGATGATGTTGATGATGATGATGATGATGATGTTGAGGAGGAAGATGATGATGATGATGATGATGACGATGATGATGAGGAGGAGGATGATGATGAGGAGGAGAAGGTTAATGATGATGTGCTAGGTATGTAAGCAAAGTTTCCACCCTAAACCCTGCCATGGAGATACACGGATCACTACGCTCGCTCAACAGCTACAAGTCTAGTCGCGGTCGCGCCGTTCTATGTAAATCCTAACGTGAGGCTATTGCCACAGTATCTATAACCAATATATCAACCGTAGCGTTATATATACCCAACTGCAAAACGAAAAGACATGAAAAACACAGCCGAGCTGAAATTCCACCTGGATAAAAGTCGGTCTTTCTTTTCTCCTTTCATTCATTCTCTCTGGGTTGGATTCACACCAAATGCTATCAAAAGCCATATGTTTTACCTATGGTAACCGAGTCGAATAGCGCCCTAAAAAGTTGCTCCAACCCTCTTTGTTAGACCCCCTGCAAAGGATACAGACATGATCTAAACTTCAATCAAGACATCAATGAAAACAATGAAATCCTGTACAACAGAAAGAAGTTAACATAAACCTTCTGTACGTCAGCGTTGCAATGGTTCCAGTCAATGTTTAGAAATCACATGGATAGAAGACAAGTATGTGCGCAAGTGCTGCAAAGCAGCTTACTGCCACAAGCGATTGTTTTTTTATACCCTGGCATCAAGGACACCCACTTACCGCCACAAGCGACAGATTTTTACCGCCACAAGCGATTGAAAAGAAGCAACCGCGATCTTACCGCCACAAGCGATTAGGCCTTGAAATGCTGCACCTGCCACGCAAAAACAGCAATCACCCGCGGCAGTAAAAAAAAATCACTTGCGGCAGTCAAAATAAACGTAAAAATGAACGTTCTTACTGCCACAAGCGATTGGGTAATCTTACCGCCACAAGCGAAGTACGAGCCATCTGAATGCCATATGTCACTTCTATCCCATTATTTATATATATAATCATATACATATAATTATATATATATAACTATATATGTATAATTATATATGTATAATTATATATGTATAATTATATATGTATAATTATATATTTAGAAGTATATATATAGTTATATATATATGTATAGTTATATATATATATATGTCTAGTTATATATATATGTATACATATACCCATGTATAATCATTTATAGAGGAATCCCTGTAAAAACCTCGCCAAGTCACCTTCCACCATCCACTTTGACACAGGGAATGCGGTGCGAAGCGTCGATGTTTTCCTCGCGACTTCCCGAAGTCCTTGGCCCAGAAGCGCAATTCCTGTAGCAACTGATGCTCTTCATGCCAAACCTGCGAGACATGGGACATTGGAAGCTCGAGATCAATCTGCCCGAAAAAGATGTCATAAAAAATGCATAGTATGCATGTATCGTACAAACCTGATTTAAAGTCTTGTTAGATGGTTTCCTAAAAGATTACATGATTCTTCATGATTCATTGTCAGTTCTACATGGTTCTCAGGAAGAGTGCAATTGCAATGCTGATCAGTCTTCCAAATGGTTGTGAGATTTGGTTGAAAAATGTTCAAAATCTTTATTACTTGCCAGGAACCACCTGAAGTTAAACAATTTCCTTGTCTATTTTCTGCTTGTGTTGAATCGCAAACACGATAAGAAATACAGTTTCTTATCGAATAATGTGCCACCATTTGCAGAGTGTCTCGGAAACAACGACCTACGACAGTACCATGATCAGGGCGTTCTCCTAAAGTGAAAAAAGACCTCTTCAATTCTGCACACCTCGAATCCAAAACCCAAGAAACCACACATTCCCAGATTTAAATTGAATATGTGGTAATTGAATATGGGTACCATTTTAAATCTGATAATTGTATGGTACCATGGTTGATCTTCCATATTCATCTCTTTGTCACATCAACTCCCAGCCTCCTGATATAGCTCCTCTCGAGTGGGCTGCACCGGTCTGAATTCATCCAGCCGCAGAAATTGCACCTGCGGATAGGTCGCTGGAAATCAGGCACCGGGAGTTTCCGTTTCATGATTCTTGCTGGCAACTAGCAGCTGGTGTCTTGAAAGTCTTCGTTTCCCAGCTTTTTTGACAGCAATGTGGGCACCCACAACATCCAACAGTCAAAGTGCTCACATCTGCAAGGTTTCCATCCTTCAAAGGGACCACACAAAGGTAATAATTGGCCAGGAAAAGGGCTCGCAAGGCTCCTGCTTTCAACGGGTTGGCGACCTTTTAGATGAAAACTGGTGCTAAAATGGCATGCATGTTGACATGTTGCTGTACCTTATCTGCAACGCTGAAAGAAGTCTCCTGTAGAAACATTGGCATCAAGAATGCCATCGTCGACATCGAGGGGAATTGCGGTCTCTTGCAACATCCAACGGATGTTGTTGAATTCTTGGCGTCAAGATGCGTCAAGTGCTGCTCTGAAGAACTGGAAGACCACTGCTAACTGCAAACACTCCCAGCACTGAGCTTGGCGCGTTGCTGGAGAAAGTACAAGGTTTGCTGTGTGAAATCATCGCTCAGTGGATTGAACTTCTTTAGGATCTTCGCCGCTCTCTGAAAGAAATCTGTTCTGTCTTCACGCTTCTGCCTGTCAACTTCCAGTCAAACACCTTTGGCTTGTACCATTAACAAAGATTAATCTACACACTCAATTCCCTCCAAAGTGGTCGCTCGAAAGGGATCCATTCGATAACCCTTGGAGCGATATGGACAGAAAACTTCCATTTTCTTTGTTTTAAACTTTAAAGTCTGAGTGAAACAAAATTCCGCAGATTGCTTTTGTGGCCTCTCTTCCTCGGGTAGGCTCCGGTGCCGGGCAAAGAAATACCCACCATCTCCATTCGGCATTGCTCCAGCGATGTCCGCGCCAATGCTTCACATGGGACGCGCCACAACAAGACAAGTCCCATGCTGTTCACTGCAAAGTAAACGCGAACTGAACTGCGATCCAAAAACCGGGTGCACGTGACGTGTTCACATTCCCCAAGAATGTTGCCAGAATATCTCAAAAATGGGGATGTCGTTCTCTCTCAAAATAGCCAAATTCAGCAATTCACTGTGAAATGTGTTGAATCTTGACCCCACAGAAGCCATGCCCGCCTGGTCAAGGCAGGATGAGCACCTCATGGTTTTTTGGTGCGGCCAGTGTATCATTGGCATATCAAATAGGTTATATCATGGGGGTGCCACCCCTTCCAACAATTAGTCGAAATTGGATCATTATTGCAGTTAAGGATTATTGCACATAGAATATATTTATATTTATTCACAGGTGTATAATATATATATATATAATAACTGCAGGGTGTCCTTGAATGCACCGCCAGGCTGCGGTTCACCGAGAATGGGAAAGCATGCTCGAACTCCGACCAGCGGATCCCACCCCCTGCAGCACTTAGGCAGGCACTGAAGCAACCAGTTTCCTCCTGCTAGTCTGAAGGACAGCCAAAGGACCTTGGAAAAGCCACGTGGCCAGTGGAAGGCTGCACCAAGTGGCCAAAGTGGCCACTAAATTCTGTTCTAACATGTTCCAACATGTTCTAACACTGGTGCAAATCTCCTCTTTATGACTAAACGGTGTAATAATATATTAGTGATAAATGATAATATATAATAATAACAATAATAGAAATAATGATAATAATATAATCTAATGATGTCTAATGATATTTAATATACAACGATTGCCATATCCATCACTGCGAAACTGAGGCAAGCAGCCCAAAGCTGTCCTGTCAACCTTCTCATTGCGAAGCCGCAGGCGCGATCTCACGATCTCACGGGCGCCAAAAGGCTTGTCACCTGGGGATCGTCATGGGAACTGGGGTTGGGAGGTTGGGGGGTTGAGAACTGGACCAAATGCTGTGATGTTCTTGTCTGATTTGGGAATTCGGAGAACTGCTACGCAACGATGATCCATGTACTGCCCCGGATTGAGGCAAGACCATCTGCGCACGGATTTGAGCAAATCACAGCTGTCACAGTTCCAAAAAGTGTCCCGTGTCCTTGTTTCCTCTAGTGACTCTAGACACTGGAATCTTCAGTAGGCGTCCTACCCAATGGGAGCAGAGAGAGGAACAACACCTTCGGGCACAGGATTTAGAACTACAAAGCGGTGAGACTCGGCCCAAAACGGCAGCGGATGTTGCAGCGGATGGAGGAAACCTCCAGAAGATTCAATGCAGAAAGGGCTAAAGGTCATGAAAGGCCATAAAACTCAAACATGGCCAAAATGATTCTGAGACAGGAATTCCAGACAATTTTAGCCAGCAAATTTCAGATCTTGAAGAGCTGAGAGAGCTGGCCCAGCCTTCTGCATTGCCCTAAGGAAATCTGCTAAGGAAACGAAAGAGTGCTCGATCGTTGCCAAAGTGATTTTTTTCTTCGAAAGCCGCACGGAACGCAGCGCTCATCCACTCCAACGAAAAAAACTACATGCTGAAGCACTTTCCATAGACACAGCCTCAAAGGGACTGAAAGGCTTCATACTCAAGACGAATTCTAAACACTCCCGATCCGTTGTGGAATCGAATTATCAATTTGGGGTTGCCAACTGTGTGTGGCAGAAGCGAATGTCCTTCTCAGCGTTGTTTGCGCTTTGAGACCAGCATCTGTTTGTCAATGTTGAGCGAAAATCGTCTGCCTGAGCAACCATGCTTCAGATCCTCATTTGGCCAAACAATCCCATTTGTGTGTAGTTGAGTTGTCCGATCATCCTCACACTCTTACAATGTGCTCCCTACGTGCAAAGCAGAGGTGAACCTAAAGTACATCACCAGATAGCAAACCTGAAGGCATCCAGCGGCCCAAGCAGCCAAGAAACTTGCGCAGCTAAACTGGAATACCATAGCAAACCTCAGTCGCTACCCTATCTCTTCAGCTCGTGGAACAGCGACTCCAAACCTGCCTAGAAAAATTCCGATGGTCCATTCATGGCGTCTCATGAGATCTGTAGAAGTTTGAAGCTGTTCATGTGGTAGTCAAACACAATTAGTTTCGGTTCCCATCTGGTCTGTCTTTCAAAGAAATATCCATATAGTCTATAGATACTTTATGCGTAGATATGTATAAATACCAGTAGTACCCGCACGAGGCGGGGCGGAAGGTGCCTTAAAGATATATATATATAAGACCTTTCTCATCTATAGAACTTGCATGCGCCGTGCGCCAGCCAAGCCCGTGCGTGCGTGCACTCTGCGAAAGTGGTGTCCTGTTTCACATGTCACATTTGAAGCTCCACTTCGCCCTTCACACTTCTCACTGCACTCTTCACGCTTCACACTTCACACTCCACACTTCACACTTCACACTCCACACTTCTCACTTCACACTGCACTCTTCCCAATCCACACTTCACACTTCACTGCACGCTTCCCACTGCACACTCCACACTTCACACTTCACACTCCACACTTCACACTTCACACTCCACACTTCACACTGCACTCTTCACACCCCACACTTCACACTGCACTCTTCACACTCCACACTTCATCTCATCTGAGCTCTTCTCACCTTATCCCAGCTCATCTCTTCTCATCTCATCTCTTCTCATATGTCACCTAAGCTTTCATGAATCACTTCCCAGTACTACATGCGCCGTGCGCCAGCCAGGCCCGTGCGTGCGTGCTTTGTGCGAAGCTGTTGCAGTGTTGCTGTCCAAGAACATGACCTGCGCGCGACCCCGGTACAATGCAAACACTTTCCTCACACTTCACATTGCACTCTTCACACCCCACACTCCACACTTCACACATGCACTTCATCTCAACTCATCTCATCTGAGCTCTTCTCATCTCATTCCATGTCTTCCCATCTGTCAGCTAAGTTCTTCTTGCCTATTTTTATGTCAAGTACTTCCCAGTACTGATGTCTACTACAAAAGCTTGCAAAAACCACTTCCCAGTACTACTTTGTACTACAAAGCTTGCACAAAACACTTCCCAGTACTACTTTGTACTACAAAGCTTGCACAAAGCACTCCCCAGTACTACTTTGTACTACAAAGCTTGCACAAACTGCTTCCCAGTACTACTTTGTACTACAAAGCTTGCACAAAACACGTTCCAGTACTACTTTGTATTACAAAGCTTCTACACACATCAAGTTCTTTCGCAGAGAAGCTTTTACACACAGCAAGCTTTTCAAGCAGAGAAGCTTTTACACACAGAAGCTTTTACACACAACAAGCTTCTTCACAGAGAAGCTTTCACACACAGCAAGCGTTTACACACAGAACACTTACACACAGTGCCTTTACACATGGCAAGCGTTTACACACAGAAACTTTTGCACAGAGACGCTTTTACACACAGAGAGGCTTTTACACACAGCAAGCTTTTACACACAAAATCTTTTTCACACAGCAAGCTTTCAAACACAGCAAGCGTTTACACACAGAACACTTACACACAGTGCTTTTACACATGGCAAGCGTTTACACACACAGCAAGCTTTTTAAACAGAGAAGCTTTTACACACAACAAGCTTTTACACAGAGAAGCTTTACACAGCAAGCTTTCACACACAGCAAGCTTCTCCACAGAGAAGCTTTTACACACAGCAAGCTTTCACACACAGCAAGCGTTTACACACAGAACACTTACACACAGTGCTTTTACACATGGCAAGCGTTTACACACACAGAAAACTTTTTAAACAGAGAAGCTTTTACACACAACAAGCTTTTACACAGAGAAGCTTTTACACACAGCAAGCTTTCACACACAGCAAGCGTTTACACACAGAACACTTACGCACAGTGCTTTTACACATGGCAAGCGTTTACACACACAGAAACGTTTACACAGAGACGCTTTTACACACAGAGAAGCTTTTACACACAGCAAGCTTTTACAGAAAAAGTTTTTGCACAGAGAAGCTTTCTTGTACATAATCACAGCAGGAATTGCAGCTCCAAAACTGGACCTCGACGCCAAAGCGACAAAAAGACGATTTTGAAGCACGTTTTAAAAAGAATTTGAAAAGGAAAATTATTAGCGCCAAAATTGAGAAAATCTGCTGACAAATCACTTTCGCAGCCTTGATGCAGCCATTCCAATACGATTTACGATCTTCAGCTGCAAAAGACAATAGTATTACGCATGCAGCCGCTGCACCAAGCAACCTTGACGCAGCCACTACAATGCGATCTGCAGCGACTGAGTTGCAAAACACAATTAGAACTACGTGCAATGGCGTCGGAAATTGCAGCTCCAAAACCGGATCTCGACGCCAAAGCGACAAAAAGACGATTTTGAAGCATTTTTTAAAAGGAATTTTAAAAGGAAAATTATTAGTGAGGCACTTTTTAAAAGGAATTTTAAAAGGAAAATTATTAGCGCCAAAATTGAGAAAATCTGCTGACAAATCACTTTCGCAGCCTTGATGCAGCTGTTCCAATACGATTTACGATCTTCAGCTGCAAAAGACAATAGTATTACGCATGCAGCCGCTGCGCCAAGCAACCTTGACGCAGCCACTACAATGCGATCTGCAGAGACTGAGTTGCAAAACACAATAGAACTACGCGCAATGGCGTCGGAAATTGCAGCTCCAAAACCGGATATCTCGACGCCAAAGCGACAAAAAGACGATTTTGAAGCACTTTTTAAAAGGAATTTTAAAAGGACAATTACTACCGCCAAAATTGCGAAAATTTGCTATAACAAACCAATCTCGCAGCCTGGATGCAGCCACGCCAATACGATTTACGATCTTCAGCTGCAAAAGACAATAGTATTACGCATGCAGCCGCTGCAACAAGCAACCTTGACGCAGCCACTACAATGCGATCTGCAGAGACTGAGTTGCAAAACCCAATAGAACTACGCGCAATGGCGTCGGAAATTGCAGCTCCAAAACCGGATCTCGACGCCAAAGCGACGAAAAGACGATTTTGAAGCACTTTTCAAAAAGAATTTGAAAAGGAAAATTACTAGCGCCAAAATTGCGAAAATCTGCTGCCAAATCACTGTCGCAGCCTTGATGCAGCCATTCCAATACGATTTACGATCTTCAGCTGCAAAAGACAATAGTATTACGCATGCAGCCGCGGCACCAAGCAACCTTGACGGAGCCACTACAATGCGATCTGCAGAGACTGAGTTGCAAAACACAATAGAACTACGCGCAACAGAGTCGCAAATTGCAGCTCCAAAACCGGATCTCGACGCCAAAGCGACGAAAAGACGATTTTGAAGCACTTTTTAAAAAGAATTTGAAAAGGAAAATTACTAGCCCCAAAATTGCGAAAATCTGCTGACAAATCACTGTGGCAGCCTGGATGCAGCCACTCCAAAACGATTTGCGATCTTCGCAACCTTGACGCAGCCATTACAATGCGTTTCGCAGCATCCCGTAGCAAACCTGCACCTATCTACACACGTGGCAACATCAAAGGACGACAATGAAGCAGCCATTCCAATGCAATCTGCAACCAGAGATTCAAGAACCGCATGGAACTACGCACACAGGAACAACCACTCGTTGCAAAACACATAGGAGGAACAATTCGCGCACAAAACGACTGCAGCCGCAACCGCCGCACAGACGAGGTACCTTTCATCGCCGGCTGCAACCACTTTACACGGAAAAACACAAGGGTTCGTGCTCCGGCTTCCTCCCCAAAACATAGCCCATGCAACATTCATGCAGCCATGACAATGCGTTTCGCAGCATCCCGTGGCAAACCCGCACCTATCTACGCACGTGGCAACATCAAATGACGACAATGAAGCAGCCATTCCAATGCAATCTGCAACCAGAGATTAAAGAACCGCATAGAACTACGCGCACAGGAACAACCACTCGTTGCAAAACACATAGGAGGAACAATTCGCGCACAAAACGACCCCAGCCGCAACCGCCGCACAGACGCGGCTGCAGCCACTTTACACGGAAAAACGCAAGGTTTCGTGCTCCGGCTTCCTCCCCAAAACATAGCCCACGCAACATTCATGCAGCCATGACAATGCGTTTCGCAGCATCCCGTAGCAAACCTGCACCTATCTACGCACGTGGCAACATCAAAGGACGACAATGAAGCAGCCATTCCAATGCAATCTGCAACCAGAGATTCAAGAACCGCATGGAACTACGCACACAGGAACAACCACTCGTTGCAAAACACATAGGAGGAACAATTCGCGCACAAAACGACCGCAGCCGCAACCGCCGCACAGACGAGGTACCTTTCATCGTCGCCTGCAGCCACTTTACACGGAAAAACACAAGGTTTCGTGCTCCGGCTTCCTCGTGCTCCGGCTTCCTCCACACCTACTCACCACAATTCCCTTCCAATCATCCACTTCGCCATACGCACACAGGAACACGTCTTTTGCACACATAGGAGGAACAATTCGCGCAACAAAACGACCGCCAGCCCGAGGGTCATCGTCGCCTGCAGCCACGTCACCTTCGTCCCACCTTCCCTTTCTCCACTTCCCTTTCTCACTACTTCCCTTCCTCACCACTTCCCTTCCTCACTACTTCCCTTACTCACCACTTCCCATCGTCCCCACCTCCCTTCCTCACCATTCCCCTTCCTCATCACTTCCCTTCGTCACCACTTCCCTTCGTCACCACTTCCCTTCGTCACCACTTCCCTTCCTCACCACTTCCCTTCCTCACCACTCCCCTTCATCATCACTTCCCTTCTTCACCACTTCCCTTCGTCACCACTTCCCATCGTCACCACTTCCCTTCGTCACCACTTCCCATCGTCACCACTTCCCTTCGTCACCACCCAGTCATTGTCACCACTCTTCATCAAGGTCAATTCCACCGCTTCTTATTCTTGTGTTATGTATTGCTATGTTAGGCATTGTTATGTGATCTACCACCCTTCATCAAGGTCAATTCCACCGCTTCATTGTCCTTCATCAAGGTCAAGTTATGTTATGTATTGTTATGTGATCTACCACCCTTCATCAAGGTCAATTCCACCGCTTCTTATTCTTGTGTTATGTATTGTTATGTTATGTATTGTTATGTGATCTACCACCCTTCATCAAGGTCAATTCCACCGCTTCTTATTCTTTTGTTGTGTATTGTTATGCTATGTATTGTTACATCACGTACCACCCTTCATCATAGTCAATTCCATCAAGTAAAAGTCATTCGTAACTCGGAAGTATTGCTTCCCAACTTCCTTTGAGAATATATTTGTATATACAATAGTAGCACTACTGAAGGAGCCACCTTTGAGTCACTTTGATACACCCCTGCAATCTAACAGGCCATGTCCAAGTCCGGAAAGGTTCGGCTTTCAACACGATGTCGTCCAGGCGCCAAGGAAGCTCCGGTGAGATTCGGCAACAGGCACTTTGGTCGCAAGTCTTTCAGGGCGGTCAGAAGGCCTCACCCACCGAAATGGGTAGCAGTTGGTTCCAAAATCGGAGAACAAAAGACCATCTTCCAATCTGCTGGTTCCAGCTGCATCACCCTATCGGCCTCCACGGGAAGGGCATGAAGTTTTTCCCTCCTTGAGCCATCGCTGTAAAAGCCTCGTTGTTCGGTGCAAATCTGCACAGCCGAAGCCACAAGTTAAAGCCAACGTTCTATTCAGTCTACCAATAAGTCAAAACTCGGGGAATATGATTTGATGTTGTGTTTCAGTAAGAAGAAGAAGAAGAATTGTGATAATAATATTACTTGTTCCTATTATGACCACCATCATCATCACCTCATTCCCAACCCCAAACCGCGCACCTGCTGGCAAGTTTGTCCAGATCTCCTCCCAACACGTCCCACTGCGCGCCCAGCACCAAAGGGGCGCCCCCCAGCAAGGCCGAACTGGCCAGGCCGAAGGATTCGATGTCGCCCTGCCAGTTGAAGGCATGGTATCTACGTGTCTGTGTATATATATATATTACTATATATTATATATTACTATATATTATATATTACTATATATTATATATTACTATATATAATATATTACTGTTACTATATAATATATATATATACAAAAGATACATGTAATCTATGCATATACATACCACCTGGTGCTACATCAAATTGATAAACAGGAGCAAAATACCGTGTTGACGTAGAAAGAAATCTGTTTGAGATAGAGGAGACTGCTGCCACTGTTTCAGAAATGGATTCACTTGGCTATTCATTGGGGAATCATTGATATAGAATGATATAGAATCCAAAATAACAATCTACTATACAGATGATGATGTTGAAAATTCTCAAAATTGCACATTTACCAGCCCTTACCCAAATTGAGTACCCCCAAAAAACGACTGCTCAATGGGGTCCGTATATGTATAATATTATATATATAGTCTTGTAGAGGTAGAAGCCCACACGTGACATTCTCCCCGTTGCCCATGCCCACGAAGAGGGGCATTGATGAAGTTAACTTCATGTCAAACGACAAGGTGGTATGTTTTTTTAATGCATGGTCAGTGTGGCCCATAGTGACAAGAATGCAAGAACACCAAGTGAACGATTTACCCTACCGGGCTACCGGAGGTTTATATCGATTTGACAATGAATGTATCCCAACTGAAACCATCCAATGGTTTCATCGAAAGGAGATCCTTAATGGTCCGTATGTCTTTTACCTTTCGACCCATAGCCACAGCCGTTAACCACTGCCTCCATTGAGCCTTTCTGGATCTTCACACTGGAACAGCCCAAGAGCATCAGGGTTGAGCGAAGGCCTGCCCTTCTGCTGTCATTTTCCTGGCCCATTTGGAGCCACCAAGTTCAGCATCAGGCGATTGCCAGCGCATTTGACTCTGACTTGTAAGCTGGTTCTACCTGGGTTTGTATCAAAATATGCTACTTCCAGTTCCAATGGATTTTCTTTCTATCATTCAATCAGAAATTGGCCATCAATTTTGGGGGGCCCTGCTCTATTTTCAGCCTGCCCCATCTGGCTATGTTCGGCCTCAGCCACTTCCCCTGCAACTTGCAACTTCTCGTGACGAAGAAGCTGCCTCGCAGCACGCTGCTGTGAAGTTCTGACCGTTTCACGATTTTTGATCGCATAAACCTGCGGTGATCCACCCTGGCAATTGAAAACCCCCTATTTACGAGCATTTACAGATGATGTTCTTGTCCAAACAACATGGTGATTTCAGCAGAGAGCAATGTTTGATGAGTCTAAGCGCCACAAAATGCACTTGATCTCATAGAATTCCACAACTCACCAGCCATCAGCCCACCTAACGCGTTCTCCATGGCCCAGGTAGACAAAGACGTCCTTACGGCACAGCTCCTCCAGGACCTTGGTTTAAAACATCTTGAAACCAATATTCATCACCCCATAACATGGGCTCTGCCGATTTCTGGTGCTTTGATATGTTTTGATCCCTGCTGGTCAAGCCATCCTGTGAAACAGGGGTCTTGGTTCATCCACACTGAACGTTGCATCCAAGGTGCACGCGAAGGTTCAGGGAGTTTGCCCGTGTGACCGTGCCAGGACTGCCGGGTGAACTTCGCACAGTCCATCTTGTATTTCAAGTACATGAGGTGACAAAAAACCCAAAAGTTTTGAGTCAGTTGATCTACTATATCTACTATAAACTCTATAGATTTCTATAGGCAACGGGCAAAGAGTGCTACAGCAAAAAATTCCTAACGACTTGGACATCAATCAAGTCAAACGTCGTGCAACCTGTGTATGCTGTGCCATGCACAAAGGGCATCCAGAAGGTATAGAAATTTCTTCACATATTCTGAACTCACCACTACCAAGCCTTGTGGGGTTACCAATGGGTCTCTGAAAAATTCGGTTCCCTATCCCAAAATTACCAGGGTTTGAAACCAGCCACTAACACATGTTTTTCTTGATCATATCCCAGTGGTACCGCATGGTACCGCACAAGGTGGTGGCGGAAGTTTCAAAAAAAGGAAACCTATAGGAGAGGTGAATTGTTGCGAATCACGGATGGCAGAGCGAATCCACTGATGGACCGAAAGATGGTTGGAATGTCGAGTTATCTATCTATCCATCATTTTTTCTATCTATCTATCCATCCATTTGTATGTCTATCTGCCTATCTGTCTATTTCTCTCTTTCTCTATCCATCTATCTATCCATCCATCTATCTATCTATCTACCTATCCTTCTAGTTGTCTGTCTACTTATCTATCTGTTTACCTACCTATCCATCTATCTGTCTTTCCATCAATCTGCTTGGCTCTCTATCTGTCTATGCAGCCGTCTATCCATCAAAACTGCCTCTCTATGCGTCTATCGGTCTATCTATTTTTCTTTCTATTTTTCTTTTTCTAGATGTATCCATTTCCTTGTCTATCTGTCTGTCTTTCCACTTGTGAAAAGTTCTATGCTTCGGTCACCTTGCTCACCGGACAACAGCAAAGTCTTAAACATGTTGCCGACCCGTAAAGAACATCGATGTGCCTCTATTCCCAATTTTCTATCTATCTATCTATCTATCCATTTGTCTATTTATCTATTTATCCATCCATCTATCTACCCATCAATGTATCTATCTATCCACCTATCTATCTATCTATCTATCTATCTAACTATCTATCTGTCTGTCTGTCTATCTAACTATCTATCTATTTATCTATCTATGTATCTGTCCACCGATCCATCTATCTATCTATCTATCTATTTATCTATCTATCCATCCATGTATCTACCCATCCATGTATCTATCTATCCACCTATCTATCTATCTATCTATCTATCTATCTAACTATCTATTTATCTGTCTGTCTGTCTGTCTCTCTAACTATTTATCTATTTATTTATCTATGTATCTGTCCACCGATCCATCTATCTATCTATCTATCTATCTATCTATCTATCTATCTATCTGACTATCTATCTATCTATCTATCTATCTATCTATCTATCTTACTTCTCTATCTATCTATCTATCTATCTACCTATCTATCGATCGATCCATCCATCCATCCATCCATCCATCTATCTGTGTATTTATATATCTATCTATCTTTCTATCTATCTATCTATCTGTCTGTCTGTCTATCTATCCATCCATCCATCTATCTAATGTATCTGTCTATCTATCTATCTATCTATCTATCTACCTATCCATCCATCCATCTATCTAATCTATCGGTCTATCTGTCTGTCTGTGCACAGGCAAGCTTGACAACGAAGCTATGTTGCAAGGCTTCCTCCATTTTCGACGGTGACAACATGAAAAAGGAAGCAATTCTGCAAGGCTTCCTCCATGTTCAAAAACCAAGCAATTCTGCAAGGCTTCCTTCATGTTCGATGGGGAAAACATGAAAACGAAGGTCCAAAAGTGGCGCGAACATGTGGTGCTTTGTACATGTTGACTTCGAAATTTGCTTCGCGCCACAACAGCGTACACTTTTTCGACATCTCAACTTCCAAAAGTGCTCTGAACGTGGTGTGTTTTGTACATTTGAACTTCGAAATGTGCTTTGCACCACAACGGCGTACACTTTTTCGACATCTCAACTTCCAAAAGTGTTCTGAACGTGGTGTGGTTTGTACATGTTGACTTCGAAATGTGCTTCGCGCCACAACGGCGTGCACTTCTTCGACATCTCAACTTCGAAAAGTGGTCCGAACATGGTGTGCTTTGCGCATTTTGACTTCCAAATGTGCTTTGCGCCACAACGGCATCCACATCTTCGACATCTCAACTTCTAAAAGTGCTCCGAAGCTGAAGTGCTTTGTGCATTTTGACTTCGAAATGCGCTTCGTGCCACAACGGCGTGCAATTGTTCATCTCTCATCTGGCCAGATGACTCCGCACCTGCCGCTTTAGCGAGCCTACTTTTCGACCCGCCGGAGCCACAAATCATTCGAAAAACACAGTGTTTTGCGACTTTTCTAACTTTTCGCGCACCTGCATCTTCTTTCTTCTGACTCTTTCTCTTCTCTGATCTTCTCTCTTCCTCTCTTCTCTTCTCTGACTCTTCCCACCTCTGCTTTTCCATCTGTCCATATTGTCGGAAGTTTGACTTCTAAACGTCCTTCGATCATATGATGGTATTGATTTCCCCTTGAAACTTCAACCAAACCGCCCAAAAATCACCTTTCTCTGCTTGAAAAGTTCCATCCGTTTTCATCAAAATTTCACCAGCTCCGTTGGCACCTGGCCATGGGAACTCCAGGAGGTTAGGAGTTGCCTCACGTCGCCCATGGCAGCGCAATCCTCCGCGGGGTCGATGACGAAGAACCCGGTGGCTTCGGCGGCCACTGGTTTCGAGGCTAGAGAGGAGAGCCTGAAGCATCTATTTTTGGTATCTATCACACATATATATATATATATATTAGTATATATAATATTAGTATATAGATATACATAAGGATTTTAGACATGTGTATATATATTATATATATGTGATATTAGTATATATTATATAACTATTGTGGTTTAATATGTATATTCATATACTTTCAAGTACATATACATATGCACAGATATATGTATATGTATACAATAGCTATATACATAACGGTTTGTGTGCATTGATTCATTCAGCCATGGTTGACCTGTTGGTGTTTTCTTTGGGATCTGAAACGAGCCAATTTGGTGGTATATTTTATTGACGCGAACAACGGGCGTTTTCATTGGAAGACTGACCAAACCATCTAGATCCCTGTTTGAGATATTTTGAGATTACCACACTTGAACCTTTGAGACACTTTGAGACTCCCATGCAAAACCAAACCCCCACAGACCAATTGAAAAACCGCTGTAGAGTTTGATTCCAAACTCAAAAGTTCTCAAACAACCAACGCAAAGAGACTTCTAAGAGAACTTTGGATCTGCTTGTCAAATAATGCGCTGCAAGACACGTGATGCTGGGAGCAAGGCCACGAACTACATTGCGCTGCCTCGAAGTATCAACAAGCAACTCCGGGGGGCCGAATATGGCCGAATGGCCGAAACCTTCAATTTCCAGTGTTTGAAATGGGAAAATCCATGGCAGCATGGTGATGGGGCCTTCAATTCCTGTGTGTTTCAGAAATTAGAAAGAGAACCGCAGCGCTTCACGGCAAAATGCAAATAGTTTGGGGAAAAATCAGGCCGTCAAGCACGCGCAAGATTTCCAGTTTGATTGCAGGCTGGAAGAAAAAGGTCCTTCCATCATTTGGCCACAGATCCTAAATTGGGGTGCACTACCAATGGACCATAAGATGCGTAAAAGAATATCATATGTTCAGCTTTGTAGGCAATTCGATTTTTTGGCTTCAATGCCCTCTGGTGACAAACAGGGCAATGGAACATCCTGGCCATCTCTAAATGATTTTCCCATCTAGACTTTTATTTGCAGTGGATTTCCCATAATTTCCGATATTGTCCTATGCTTTTCCCATTGTTTATAGGGGAGTTCCAATTGTTTGTAGGGCATTTCTGATGACCAAAACCAAATTTCTCAGTGTCCATCCGAGGTACCGCAAGCAGGGACAAGCTTCAAGCGGTAACTGTGCCATGACGCCGTCAAGGTAGAGCAACAATGGCACCTGAAAATTGTCCCTGGATAATAAACTGCAGTTTGATAGGGAAAATGATGATGAAGCCACTTCTAAGGGAAAGCCAAATCATAATAATCATAGACCTTTCTATTTCAGAGTTCTGCAATCTTCGCAGGCAGAAAACATCATAAGACTGGCAGTGACTAGCAACAGGTCCAACCACTCATCAACCATGTTCTGGCCCGCAGCAAATCTGACCACCCTCGGACCTCAGAGGCTTCATTGAGCTCTTTTAGGCTGCCCCGCAGATCGGAACTGTGCCTGCAACTTGGAGACTGTGAAGTGCAACATGTCATGTCTCTCTTCACCATTGATATGTATTCAAGATAATCAGGACATGATATTCACCACATATAATGATATAATCTTATATATGTTATATTGTCATATATATATAATCATATATATATAATCATACATATATATATATATGTAATCAAATATATATATATATGTGCTCTATGTATATATATATATATGTGCTCTATGTATATATATATATGTGTGTGAATGTATTACATGTATGATATCATATATCTATATACATATGTATTATATATATATGATGTACTTTCAGTGGAGAATAAGATTTGCCCTGGTTGCGACATATCCTGGACCAACGATTCACGATTCCAACAAGTGTTTCCAACAGAAAATTCAGCATTCGACCTCGATGATCCTCCAAAGATCTTTCAGACTATGCCCACATGCGGTGCAAGTCTAGTTCTGCCCTAAATCCACAGGTGAATCATCATGTTCGGAATTATTTATATAATATATACATATAATTTATATATGCATGTAGATAAGATAGATTTGAATAGCCATATCGCATGGCGAAAATCCCCGATTTTCAGACACGACGTCCTGCGCATGGAATAGGCCCAGCGCCGCAAAGCAGATCTGCCAGCATCCCAAAGTTGACCGAGAAGCAGAAGCAACTCAGCAACCTGCCAGGGAAGCAATTCATCCGTCAGATTATAGTAACCACTACATAGAAAAGTGATACTGTAATTACTACTTGTTTCTATACGACTATATCACGATTTCTTCGTGGGATTCTACTTACTACTTGTCGATCTTTTTGGGGCTTGCTATATATGAAACTGGTAGGATGGCATACCGCATACAGGCATACAGAAAAGCATCATCAGCGGTGATTTCTAGAAACTGCTGCAGATTCATGCTTCTTTCTTGATGTTCCACCTTCAAAGTGGCGTTCTAGTTGACTAAGATGTTTGGCCTTGTGTGAACAGAAAATATCGGGGTGGTTGCAAGTGGAACCATTTGTTGTTTGAGACGTAATTCTCGGGACCTACGTGGTTATGATCTCTGTATATGTAATCCTGCAAATATAATGATATTTATACTAGTGTATACATATGTATATATACACATACGATTGCGGTTACTCATAATTACTCGTATAATTATGTGTGTCTGCGTGATGTTCACTTGATACTCTCTGTGTGGCAGAAATCTATAGTGGCACCTATAATTCACCTATATTCTATATTCACCTCAATTGCATTGAGGAAATCCTAAAACCAACCAGCCAGTGATTCTGCCTTCCCCACTGCTTCAGTGGTTCCCAAGCCACCTCCAAGTTCTCTGCTTCGATCAGCAGGAGTGCCTTGGAGCCACGAGATGCCAAGGCAAAAAAAATCAGACTCCCAGATTTCTGGTCAAAAACTCAAAACCCAGAAAAACCTAAGATGCTGGGCCGCCCGGGCCATGTCGAATCCAAGTTTGACTCATACAATCTCATACATCCCATGACCTCCCATGGTTTTTCGTCAATTTAGCAGCAAAGTTCCTTAAACACAAGGTGCAGTGGGACCGGCCACGGGTAATATCACACACCAATTTCAAAGCATGGACTGCCAAGCCTGTCAAACATTGTAGCCAAGTTACCAGAAGAAAAACATGCTCAGCCTGCTCTGGGTCATCCAGGCTTCCATTTAGACGCAGCCCATCCGCCATTTCGGCAGCTTCATTGGTCAGCCATGAGCGCAAAGAGTCCAGAACACGCTGTTTGGCCGCGGCACTCTGTGGCCAGGGAGCCAGTAAGAAGCGGCCAACTCCCAACACTTCCTGGTGCCGTGTATGGGGAACCCCAAGAGTTCAACCATCGGCTCGAAAAATTGAGGTACAAGTAGTATGTTACTTAGTACATCTCTGTTATGCTCCAGCAATTGATTTTAAAAGAATCCAAACTGTGGCCTTCTGAATCTTCTCCACCAACTTTCCCAGTTGATCATCAAATCCTTTTCGGCTTCTCCAAAATTCGAGTCGAACTGCCTGGAGGGCAAGGGACACAACAGGACTGTTGGATTTTCAGATTGCCTTCAGGTGGTGTGCTTAGATTAACTATATTCCATCTTCAGCTCATACTATGGCTGCCATAGAGACCATCATTGCCTCTCAATTTTATTGCAAATCGTATGTTTCCATGCTTCTCAACTTCCTCCTGTGCTGGATGGGTGCAAACACGAAACCATTTCTTTTCAGGATTATGTCAATGGTTTCGAGGAAGGAGTTGAAAAGTGCCGCACGTTCGCAACTCTCCCGACCATCATCCCAAACATAGAGGGTTCAGAAAGCCCTCTGCTTCACTCCATTCCTTGCATTTGAGATGTGCATGTGTCAAAAATTTGGGTACCCCAAAATGTTTGACACATATGGACCAATGGACCATAGAAGACTCCTGTTCCAGATCCCCCATGAAACACTGCATGAATCACCTTCCGGCATTGGCACCTCTGACTTTTTGTCCTGCCGTTGCCACAGCTCTTTGATTTTCTCGCTATTGGATCGATGAAGCTGCTGCAACTCATCCTGTCAGGGTTTTTTGAAAGGCCCCAAGAAATTGATGGTTCATCATGGTTCATCATGGTTCATCATAATTTTCCCATATTTTCCCCATTCAAAAGTCATTCAAAAGTCATTCAAATCACCATTTGGCGACCGTTCAGCCCCAGCCCCTCCTGTAGGCCCCGCAGCACTTGGGATTGCAACGGAAGGCGCTGGGACAACAGGCGCTCGGAGCGCTCTGGATTCACATCCACTGAGCGTGAAATCTGTAAGGAGCTGCTCTTCCAGTCCACCTGAGTTATATAAGTTGGAAAAAAAACACCTGAAAACGTGGCAGGGTCTGAAAAATGAACATACAGTACCCTAGAACCATGTTGCAACAGTTGCAACCCAAATTTATATCTTAAAAGATTTCGCAATTAACATCCAAGAATTCGAATTTACCAGTAGTACCGCACAAGGCGGTGGCGGAAGTTTCAAAAATAGGAAACCTATAGGAGAGGTTGGTTGTTGTGAATCAGGGATGGCAGAGCGAAGCCACTGCTGGAGCGAAAGGTGATTGATCTCTCTCACTATTTCTCTCTCTTTCTCTGACTATCTACCTACCTACCCACCTACCTACCTACCTATCTACCTATGTATCTATCGATCTATCTATCTACCTACCTATCTTTCTATCTATCTATCTAACTATCTATCTATCTGTCTGTCTGTCTGTCTATCTATCTATCTATCTATCTCTCTCTCTCTCTCATCTGTCTAGCTGTCTACCTGTCTACCTGTCTATCTGTCTATCTATCTATCTGTCTGTCTGTCTGTCTACCTGTCTATCTGTGGTGCAGTGTCATTCAGTGTAATGTAGTGTAGTGTAATGTAGTGTAGGGGAGTGTAGTGGAATGTAGTGTAGTGTAATGTAGTGTAGTGTAGTGTAATGTGGTGTAGTGTAGTGTAATTTAGTGTAGTGGAGTGTAGTGGAGTGTAGTTGTAGTTGTAGTTGTAGTGTAGTGGAGTGTAGTTTAGTGTCATGTAGCGAAGTGTAGTGGAAAGTAGTGTAGTGTAATGTAGTGTAGTGTAATGTAGTGTAGTGGAGTGTAGTGTAATGTAATGTAGTGTAGTGTAGTGTAGTGTAGTGTAATTTAGTGTAGTGGAGTGTAGTGGAGTGTAGTTGTGCAGTTGTAGTTGTAGTGGAGTGTAGTGTAATGTAATGTAGTGAAGTGTAGTGGAAGGTAGTGTAGTGTAGTGGAGTGTAATTTAGTGTAGTGGAGTGTAGTGGAGTGTAATTTAGTGTAGTGGAGTGTAGTGGAGTGTAGTTGTGTAGTTGTGTAGTTGTGTAGTTGTGGTTGTAGTGTTGTGTAGTGTGGTGTAATGTAGTGTAGTGTAGTGAAGCGAAACGACATCTGAGCCTCCAAAAGTGGTCCGAACCCCTAGTGTTTTGTGCATTTTGACATGGAAATGTGCTTCGCGCCACAACGGCGTGCACTTTTTCCACATCCGAACCCCCAAAAGTGGCGCGAACATGTGGTTTTTTGTACATTTTGACTTCGAGATGTGCTTCGCGCCACAACGGCGTGCACTTTTTCGACATCTCAACTTCCAAAAGTGGTCCGAGACCGCCAGTTTTTAACACTTTTGACTTCGAAATGTGCTTCGCGCCACAACGGCGTGCACTTTTTCGACATCTCAACTTCCAAAAGTGGTCCGAACCCCTAGTGTTTTTAACATGTTGACTTTGAAATGTGCTTCGCGCCACAACGGCGTGCACTTTTTCGACATCTCAACTTCCAAAAGTGGTCCGAACCCCTAGTCCCTAGTGCTTTTAACATTTTGACTTCGAAATGTGCTTCGCGCCACAACGGCGTGCACTTTTTCGACATCTCAACTTCCAAAAGTGGTCCGAGACCGCCAGTTTTTAACACTTTTGACTTCGAAATGTGCTTCGCGCCACAACGGCGTGCAAATTTTCATCTCTCATCTGGCCAGCTGGCTCCGCACCCGCCGCTTTAGCGAGCCTACTTTTCGACCCTTCGGAGCCACAAATCATTGGAAGAACACAGTGTTTCGCGACTTTCCTACCTTTTCGCGCATCTGCATCTTCTTTCTTCTGACTCTTTCTCTTCTGATCTTCTCTCTTCTGATCTTTTCTCTTCTGACTCTTCCCACCTCTGCTTTTCAACTGTCCATATTGTCGGAAGTTTCACTTCTAAACTTCCTTCGACCATCAAAACATGTGGGAGCCAAGAATCAGGACGGAACTAGTTGTACCCAGGTGATCAAAGAATTGGAAATCCCAATCTTGAAGACGAAAAACCATCCAGCCATGTTTGTTTACCAAAGGTAGAATTTAGATCAACTTGGAGCCTATACCACTGGAACCCTCCGAAATTCTCTTGACCAGTTCAGGTACTAGTACACACATGCACGCATATACAAAAAATCAAAGCGCGCGAGAACGAATCACCGGTTGATACTTCATCAATCATCAATTTTTCGGGGCCTGCAGCCAGGCCAAAGACATATCGGAGCCCAGTTGGGACATCCAGTTGCCGCTGCAAACGTCTTCAACCGCCATCACACCAAGCATGGATGTAGTGCTGCCGGGTCCAAGGCGTTCAAGTGCGCCTGTGAAGTGATCCAGAGATGACATTGATAGCAGGATCACAACGACTATAATAATGGCAATAAGAATGATAGTGACAGTGACAATAACAAACATAACCATGATAATGACAATGACAACGACCATACCAATAACATTATATAATAAGAATAACGATGATGATGATTATTATTATTATTATGATTATGATTATGATGGTGGTGATGATGATGATGATGATGACGATGACGACGACTCCAACGATAATGACAATGACAGCGATGATGATAATCACAACAATAGACAATGATCAGAATCATAATAGATCATAATAATCCCATCACCCTAATATTAAACACCTCATAAATGGTCCCAATTATGTGGAAATTCCCTGATAAACCGTGGTTTCTAAGGGGGTGTTTAAGGGATTAGTAACTAGTAAAACATGACAGGTTTATCTTCTTCTTTCCGAAGTCTGAGGCTCTCCAGTGGTCCATCTTTTCGAGTCGTCGTTGCATGGCTCGTAGCTCAGTCATGAAAAGGAGAGACACGCCAAAAGCGCACGGCACAACCTCGCAGGGCATAGAAAATGTGACTTTGTTACCAGAAAAGATCAGGGAAAACCATGGGAAAACCCTAGAAAAGCTCCTAATTCTACTGGTTAATCATCCTGGTCCTCACTGATCTCATTGAAACAGCCATTTTGGGGGTATACCGGTACACTGTACCGTGTATACCCCATGTTTGGACGCATCAATTTAATATCCTGTTAAACAACAGATTCTTGGCCTTTCCAAAAGATTGTGGGCCCTTCTTTTTTATGCAGCGGTTCACTTGTCCCAGCCGCCTGCTTGCAAAGCTTCCACTGGGCCCTGGAAAAAGCAATGTCTCCACTTTCACGTGATGGGCTGCGTTCTCGCGAATTGGTTCCTTCCTACACGCAGTGGATGGAAAACTCAACTAGGCACCACGTGCATCTTGTTGCGTTGCTTGGAAATCAGGCTTCATCCCACCCTCAAAAACTTTGCAAGCAAGATCAAGCATGTGAATTATCTTTCATCATGTTGAGTCATCTTGAATCAATCTCCAGTCAAAAAACAATTGATACCCCATTTTCCACCATAGACCCGGCTGGAAATTGCTACGTCGTACCGTCGCGCCTCAAGGTTCGGAGGCCTCGGAGGCCTCGGAGGCCTCGCGGCGCCGACCTAAGTGCGCTGCGCGTTTTTTTCAGTCACCCATTTGACCAAAACATATGCCAAAGTCCTTGGGATGTCATCGAAAAGTCAGTTCTATGAGTTGTAATTATGGTTGGATATGGTTGGATATGGTTGGATATGGTTGGATATGGTTGGATATGGTTGGTTCTTCACAAAATGTGTGAAACCAGCAACCAGAATATTCAACACAACATGAAACCATCCCATGGGCTCCATGCTGGGGAGCCAACCACCTCTTCCACCCGAAGAAGGAGCTGTGCACAGTGCCGTGCCACAGCACTTTCCCCCATGAAGAGAGCGCCTGAGGTCTAATGCAGAATGTCACTGGCGACGTGTTTCTTGCACCAAAATAAGACTCGATTTCCTGGAAGAATGCAAAGACACCATGTAACTTTGGCAACATGAATTAGACGTTAGCAAAAATAACAGCCGGCTCATGTCCAAATCATGATAAGCAAGCTTGATCTCGGCCACCAGCCTCTGAGCGCAGCAGCACAAACTTGAAGGAAAGACTTCAGAGAAGGAGCTACCTGTCGCAGAGATTTCCAAGGTCAAAATGGCATTCCTTCCACGGCTCAGTGCTTTCAATGAGCCAAATTCGATGTTTCCTCTTATGACTTTGGCAGGAAACCAAATCTGATGCCACAAAGGAGTGAACCCTTGAAGCAAAGGCCACATTCAAACTGTTATCCTAAGGCCCAAAGGACCTGCCTGGATACTGTCGATCAGCTGCTCAGCTGGTTGTGAGAGGACCATGCAGCACTGCTTTAGATCTGCTGCTGCTTTCAGCAAACTCCATGACCAGTTGACTTCTGCACCTGGACAAGTGCCGTCCTTCAAGTCATTGAAGAGGGCTTGTGCCAGCAGTGCCAAAGCTGGACAAAGAGCTCGGGGGAAAGGTGCTTTGGATGGATGATCTGAGATCTTCTTCAGAAGACGCTGTACTGTTTCAGTCCACAGCTCCGAGCGGTCTTCCATCTGCAGCTGAATCAAAAGAACGACACTTTCACTTGGAAGTTTTGCCTCATCGGCCTGAAACAGACTGCTCAAAGAAACTAAAGCGGCAAAATCACTGAGGTTGATCGGAGGTTACTTTCGAAACGGCCACGCCGCAAACCTCATAATGTTGAATTTCAATGCATTTCAAAGAAATGAAAATCGTACAGGGTTGCTGGGGTCATATGTTTCTTTTGGAAATTAGACGCTGGATTCCGTCGCGCATGGTAAACCACACGCCTGTGAGAGCAGTCGCAACAGCCTTCCTTGTCGTCGCTGTTTGGAGGATGCATTCACCCACAAGGTCAAAAGCTCCCATGGCATCCCCGGACTCGAGATTGTGCCGTCGGGCTCGACCGGCTCGACCGCAACTCCTTCGCAAGTTGTCGTCAACTCTACGCGTGGTTGCCCCTGGATCCTGCAAGAAATATGGATTGTAGCTGCTCAGCAGACGTTCACAGCTTGACACAATGTCGGGTCTCGAGTCTCAAGTGTCAACACATATTCTTGAAGGAAAGGTCCGGTTGGAGAGCTTTGAGTGCAGTAAGATTCGCCCAACTCCAGCCTGCGATTCCATAGATCTTCTATATCGTGCAAAGCATGCTCCTCCTGACATAGCATTTCTATGCATTTCTGTGATCCAAGCTGCATTGAGTTGTGGTGCAAAGGTGGCCCATGGTGGCCCTGATAAGCATGACAGTAGCTGACATGCAGAAACCAAAGTCCTTTGTGACGTCAGAGAAGCAAGAGACAGCGCACCTACACCAGAATAAGATCTCTTCACTTTCTTACAAGGAGCTCAGATGCAGCGGAGTTCTCGACTTTCAAAGTGGGGCATCGAACTAGTTGTCGGGAAAAACATCGATTCACGGCTCTCAACAATGACTCCATTGGTTTTCTTGTGCCATTGGATGGTGGGGCATGGTCGGGCACGGTTCGCTTGCACTCCAAACCTGGTCCGAATACACAGAAACCGAATCTTCCAGCGACAATCGCCACATAGCTTTCGCTCCATGAGCCTCAAATGAAAAAGATCATCTGCCAAAAGAAAAAAGTTGACAAAATAAAGAAAGAAACAAAGAAAGAAATAAAGAAATAATATTGATCATTTGGGATGGGATCCCCAAATGAATAGGACTTGGTCTTCCTGCGATTCTAAACTGGGGTGCCACATCTTATCTCTTTGGGGCTTATTGCTTTTCCTTATCCATACAGCAAATCGCAATCCCCTTTGCCGATAGCGACTCAAGTCCGCAGTCTGCACAGGCGATTGCCAGATCCGATTCGCCCAGGCAATCGTACAAAAGGCTCACCTGCAGCGATCTTCAGCAGACTTTCATCAGGTTTTCATAGGCTGGTTGGTGGTATACCTACCCCTCTGCAAAATATGAAAGTCAGTTGGTATGATGACATTCCCAATATATGGAAAGTCATAAAATTCATGTTCCAAACCACCAACCAGTGGGTTTTTTTAATGGTCTTTTGATGCACCTGGTGGATCACCCTCAGCTGGAGCAGCCCGGATCTCCAGGCCGGCCAGCGGAGCAGCTCTGGAGAAAGGGCCTGGTGCACACGGTGCACACCAGCCACCCAGAAATCATTGGAGACCTTTAGGTGATGAGGATACAAGCAAGAATCACTTCCAAATAAGCCATGGATATGGATCAAAAGCATTCAAAAGCGAATATATCTATGATATGACCCTTTAGTTCACAGAATACTTGGTACATTTTGGTACTTATGGAGGTTACTCCATTCAAATATATTCAGATAAGAACATCCCAGGTTTCACTAAAGGCGCCTGGCTGGGCTCTTTCTGACCCTGGGAGTAGACCTGGCTGGGCACGTCGCCACAGATCAAGTGGCAGAGGGGATTTCTCGATCCCAACAATCGATGCATAACTGCATAACCTTGAAATGTGCGAAACTTCCGTGAATTTCTATCAAATTCTCTCCAAACCAACTTGAAAGCTGCGTCCCCCAAAATTTGTTCTCACGAATAGCTTCGCCCTGGCACCTTTGGGCCGTGAAAGAGAACTTTCAGAGACCTCAGAGCTGCCTCGGAAGGTTCGACTCATCACCCTAAAGGATGAAGTCCCAGGTGGTACTGCCAAGCATTCAGCACTTGAGGATCCAACCGTTTGGCATCCAACTGCACTACCCCCTGGGCATTGGCCGCACTGGATGTCCTGAAGAAAGGCTTCTGGTAGCAGCCATTGATTTTTTTGGGCACCGCAAATTCCGGCAGATTTCTCTCAAGAAATGTCCTGCCATTTGGCAGACCACTGGGACCACGACCAAAAGGCCTCAGGATCGAAATCGATCGAAATCGCTAGCCGCTAGCACTGGCGGTCTTCGAAATGGCCCCACTGGCATTCTGTGGCCCGCCTCGGCAAACATCAGACCATCTTGAAGTCCTGTGCCAGTCAAATCAATACACATTATAATGCTTCATCGGTTTTGGCACTGCTGACCTATATTAACACACATTCTGTCAATGTCGCATTGATTGCTCCTTGGTCAGCGTTGAAGGCCTCCAATCTGCATCCTCACCAATGGATGAGCCCAAGTCTCCGAAATACACAGCATGAGGTTGAAGAACCAATGAACTGTTTGGCTTGGAGACAACAACCAAGCAAAAGAGGAACTTCTGTTTTCCCAAATCTTGACCCATCACAGGCCTCCTGATCGCCACTGCGACAAGAAGCAGCTTTCTGGCCTGATTACACATTTGCTCCACTTCACATCGTGAAGTGAGATACACATAGATACACGACATAGCAACCTATAGCAACCTATAGAAGACATAGCCTGGCATGGCTCCAAGGGCTCCCAAGGGCTCCCAAGCTCTGGACATGCTAGTGAGAGCAATCATGCGCTGTGTCACAATCGGAGCAACCTCGGGGTATCTGGGACAAAGAGTGACACATCATAGAGGTTGCCCCAAGCACCCGGCTGGTCCAGCAAGAACAGTGTCTGTTAACACAAGTTGCACACTTAGTGCAAGAGTCGTGAAAAGAGCTAAAATGTTTCACTCACTGACTCTGCCCTCGGCTGGAGCATCCCCCAAGGTTGCTTTTCTGACCTGAGCATCACTTCTCATGGAAAGTTCTGGTCCATTCAACTTCCATGATTCTTTCAGGTGGCCTAACGGCCACGGCACAAACTTCTTGCCGTGCCTCTGCAAACTTCCACCACTCAAGTGCGTCCACCTAGCACAATGCTGGCTCGTTGAGCAGGGGAGCATGCTAGTCTCTTCCCACACACCACAGGAGCAAGGCAAGCGATTTCATATGGATCAGCATCGATCAAGAGCTTCCAAACAAGCAACGTTTCCTGACAAATGAAGTAAAATGAATCATTGAATCATACATAAAAACAAGAATACCCGGTTTGTCTGTTGTGTCTGTTGCTACAGGCATCACTTCAGCAAAAGATCGTCGCGTTTCAATGCCCAGATTTTCCCCGGTCCCTGTCAGCCTGGTTGGATTGCCGGCCAAAGCCATCTTGATCCAATCTGCCGGCGGCAGCCGCCAGTCGGTAGAGCAGGATGACCAACACCTCTGAGATGACAGGCAACCATAAGCTACAAACATCTACAAACAATCCAACAATTTTTGGTCAAGCTCCAAAAAGATAGAATTTGGATAATTTTGGTAAAATCCTGCGAAACTGGCTTTCGAAAAATAGAAATATTGAAATTGGGTCTATTTTGATGGGGGTTACCCAGACCTAACTTCATTATTTGCCAATGAGGATCACCGCTTTGAAAAAAGGCACCGCAGTGCCTCGCGGCTGCTTCTGGGCAAGGTGTTGTGCTCGGTACCATCAGTCCCTTGCCTCAGAAAGTCGCCGATTGAGACCACTGTGTTTTCCGTTGCAGCAGGAATCAGGTTTCAAAAATGACAAATGCAAACAAAAATCATACAATCATACTATGTGTTCATCTGAGTTTCTGTATGCTGTTCTGATATGCTCATCTTTATTTTCGCATGGCCAAAGTCTCAAACTGAAAGGAAGAGTTCCTGGTTGCTTTCAAACAGTTGTCAAGAGATATCACAGCTGATCAGGGTCTGCTCATGTCCTCGACAACCGCTCCCAGCTCAAAACTTCTTTTACGTCTCAAGTCTAATGTTTCAACATTCAGGCAAGTCTACCTGGGGGTTCTTCAAGTGGGTCAAACCTGGCATTGTCTGGACAGGGTGGTAAGGACGGTTTGCTGAGCCGTCGGGGATGAGTTTTACAGCTCTGTTCAGATAGGGCGTGGTGGCCAATTTGACTACTGGAAAGGCTTGTTTAAAAAGAAAACAAAAAAGCCTTGCATTTCACGGCGCAAAGTCACTTAAATTTTGGATGGAAGGTGGCAAAAGACTTGGGGTGCTTGCCTTGCCATCGCCGTTGATCTTGACCGTCATTTCTAAGTCTAAGCTCTTCACAACCACGAAAGCGCTTCACGCCCATTCTGCTGCACCGTGCAAGCAAGGCAAAGAGCCTGAACGCTACTGTACCAAGACAGGACAGGCAAATACAGCAAAAAAAAATCTGCACGGCTGCAAGTCTCAGTTTCCAACCAGTGCTCCCATGCACAAGGCATGAAGGTCCTTCAAAGCGAATTCAGATATTTTCCAGAACTGACTTGAATGGTGCTGAAATGTCACAAATACCAAAATTACGCTGTGGGATTATATACCTCTAACAGCTATCTAATGAAGTAAATCAGTAAATCCAATAAACCATGCCCTTTTAGGGTTTATCATTGGCTATACCATATATTATACCCCCCTTTGGGATGGTAAGTTTCTGTACCTCGAAAATCCACCGAAAATTCGCTCCAGCGTCTCCATGATGTACGCGGCATCCGACACGTCTCGGACGCACAGCGAAACGCCGGCGTTTCGCTGATCACCTGGGGGACGAAAAAACAGCGTTTGACGCAACCCACAAACAAAAACTGGTTGGTGGGTTTAACATGTTTTAACCATATTGAAAAATATTAGTCAATGGAAAACCACCAACCAGAAAAAAAAAAGGAGTGGTCTACGCGTTTAGGAAATCCCACGAAAAATCCGCGTTGCTTAGATGACCATTTAAGCACGCTGCTTGTAACAGTGATTATCCATTGCCTGTATTTGTTTACCAGCAGGATTCAGAGCATATCTCAAAATTCTTTGCGCAAACTACCCCATAACTCTCCACATAAAAGCTGAAGCAGATGTCTTTGCAGGGGTCCACGGAGTCAATCCCACATGCACGGTCTGAGATTTCTCGTTGATTGCAATTCTCTGGGTGCATCCAAAATTGTGGGCCCCAAACTTAACCAAAATAGTTGTCACATTTCCCCAAGCACAAACCACCCAAATTGTCGATCAGGATGAAGCCACAGTTGGCTTGTCCCCCATGTTTGGACAAAACTCTGGCCTGCTGATTCCAGTGCTTTCATCAAAGAACAAGGAGTCCTTCAGGTGCATGACGAACCACATGACAACCACACAACGAACTGGTCCTATGTAGGTGGCTCGCATGTGGATGAATTTTGGGTAGCAGGCTAGCACGAATGATGGATACTCTGACACTAAATGATACTCATGGACCAATGGATGACAAAATCAGTGGTTTCCTGTCTTCGTCAGCCCATTGTCCTTAGGTCGGACCACCGCTCCAGAACGACACCTTGCCACTCATCTAGAGCAAGGTTCATGAACCGCTTGCAATCCTGGCTATACAGCGTCTGGAGACAGCAGTCTGAATGTCCGAATGATTCAAAAGTTTACTCAGACTTTGTCAGACCATGGTGGTCATGTCTTATTCTGCATTGGGATCTTCCTCAAACAAAAAAACATCAAAAGCGAGCTTCTGAAAGAGAAAGGTCCTCTGGATCTCCATCCAGTTGTGCTTGCAGGGCACATGCCTGCACCTGCAGGAAGCGCATCCGCCCCATCTCATTGCCCCCAGAGATGTAGTGCTCCAGCTGGGCCCGAAGAGCTTGCAGTGCCAGACTGACACCGCTGGAGCCAAGCACTGCCCGGAACTCCGGATCCGTCGCCAAGGAAATGACCAAGCGCCCAAAAGAGCTGCACTCAGCAGAAAAAACGGCAACTTTTGCAGCTTTTGAGCTGACCTTGAACTGCTGAAAATTGGATGTGAAAATCTGGTAGTGAAGTTGCAGCTGACAAAGGGCCAGGATGGCCGAAATGGGCCCTGGAGGCAGTTGAAGCCGCAGCGACTCAAAGGACTGAGCTCTGTGGCACCAGTGCTCCACGTGCTCCACATGCTCCACGTGCCCCTGGCATCGCAACAGTCCAGCGAGCTGGAACATAGGCTGAAGCTGCGCGGGAACTTCACCGTACTTCACGGTTCTTCCTCCGATCAAAAAGTGCTGAGTATCAAGCGGCATGGAGATGTTTGTCTGCAAATCTGAGATAGACCAATGTTGGAGATCTGGAATGTAGCTCAGAATTTAACCCCAAATTATGCACACATTTCACAGTGACCTCTACCCAACCCTCTCAAAGGGTACTGGAAGATATTCCAGTTTTTGTGGTCGTGTTCTATGAAGTGGAACTCCATTTTAGAACCTTTGTCAAGTCAGAGGATTTTCATCAAAAGCACAATTCCAGTGAATGAACAAATGAAATAGTGTAGATGACCGTCCTAGGGCTTGCAAGAGTTTGCGGCATGCGTTTGCCAATCTGTAGAGAAATGGGACACACGACATCAATTTCATGTATATCTATGTACATAATCATATATATACGTATAGTATATACACATGTATGTACGCGCGTGTGTAAATTCATATAGGCAGATCTACATCCTTCTACTATGCAGGTAAGTATATGGGTCTATAGGTATGCAGGTATGCAGGTGCGGGGTATGAGGATCAGCAGCCGGCATGCCAGCGTGTCTTGTGGATCTTGCTTGTTCGTAGTTGTGCTGTCTGTTTTGTCTTTGTCTTGTCTAGACTTTCCCCTTGGCGCCGATTTTTGGTTTCCGTTTTTTGTTGTGGTTGCCATCGGTTTGCTCCGTCTCTTCTTATATCCAATACTTGATCCACTGGCTTTTGTGCCGAACACCTTTTACACGCATAACCTTTCTAAATATAGCCTTTTCCAAAGCCGTTCTCAATATGGCCTTTTCCAAAACCCTGGTTTACACACATGCTTTGGTTTAAACTTAAACCGTGGTTTGAACAAAACCAATGTTTTTGCGTCCAAACCATCTTTTACACAAAGAGCTGTTTTACACAAAAACTGTGTTATCCACAAACACCATGTTTTACACAAAAACAATGTTCTTGCTGGGCCTGTGCAAGGGCTGTTTGCAGCCTACAGGATAGCTCTTTCCATGGTGGCCGGCGGAACACGCCGAAGGCGGTTAAATATGGAGGTTTCCTAAAATATGGGGGCACTCCCAAATCATCCAAGTCATTAGACCATGACTTAGTATTGAAACCCATGGTGACTTGGGCTTCCCCCATTTTAGGAAACCTCCATATGAGACTACGGAGATTTGTAGGTACCTAAGTATAAGGTATGTCTGTATGCATTCATGCCTGCTCGCATGCAGATGGATGCAGATGAATGCAAATGCATGGGTCGCAGTTGCATTTTGAAACTGAACACTTGTCCTGTGAAACTTGACAATTGCACTGTGAAACTCTGATTTTGAAACTCAACAGGTGCATTGTGAATCTTGGAAGCTGTACTGCAAAGTTGCTACTTCGAAACTGGTGAAACAACATCGTGGAGGTATATGGATGACTGGAGGCATGGAAGCATGA